CTTCCATATGTTCGTATTTCATCTTCTCTTGCTTCAGCGCCTCCATTAAAAATCTAAACTGAGAGCGTTTCAGGTAATCCAGGCCCCAAAACTCTAATCTCTAGACCCTAATCCCTAAACCCCTTACCCTGACACCTGAACCCCCCAAAACATAAGATATTATTAGATCCCATATACTCCATATTCCATACCCTATGTAACCCATTATAGTAGTTTCCATTTTCTTGTCCATTATTCCCATAATACCCTAGACCCTAAACCCTAAATCCTAAACCCTAAACCTTACACGAGGGTTCTCCCCAGCCTTCGCCAGCTAACGCGCAAGGCCTGAGCCGGTCGAGCTGACCAAGGCTTAGGCTTCGGATTTAGGCCAGCTGTTGTGTTGCTAGAGTTGTTGCTATATTTGAATTAGGGTTTAGGGCTTAGGGTTTTAGGGTTTAGGTGGTGTTTCAATTAATTGGGAAGTTAGGGTTTGGGAGCTGACAGTTAATTACGATCCAAATCTTCAGAGCCTAACAAGGCCGAGGATGGCAGCCACACCAGACAGCGAGGGAGAATGCAGGCGTGCACTGCTGACACTTCACGGCCTTGAATCCCAGCCGCAAGACCGACAAGATGACAAGAAATGATTGACGGCGAAAACGAGGAACAAACGTGTGATTGTATCTTGGGCCATGAGAATATCCCAGAATAGCGCAACTTAGCCCCAACAACTAGACACAAGCCCTAAACTTTGAGCCTGAAACCACAAGCCACCCTCAACCCGATACCCTTGAACCCTAAAACCCCACGCCCCAGACCTACAATCTAACAAAAAAACCCTCTCTTCCCCTAATCATAGAGAGTCCACCCCCATCTAGCATAGTCCTCCATCTAAAATACGTACTGATAGGTAATCCTCAACACCAGTTCGCTCCCAGAAGTGCCTGGCACTCTGCTGCCAGTTTTGCACATGGCCCTTCCAGCGGCAAAGCCTTGAAAGGCTCCTGGCAGCAGTCGCAAGCTGTCCAGTTTGTGGTGGTCCAGATAACGCAAATAAGGAGAATTAGGTTTGGGGGCAGGATACACTATAATTCTATAAGCATGATACAAGGATTCTGCTGGTGTTTCTTCAGCGTTCCTTGGGGACTAGGGTTTGAGGGATTCGGATTTATGGGTCAAGCATTGGGGTCTAAGGCACAGCACTTTGCAGGGCTTGTTTCTCTTCGCGCCTACAAGTTCAAAGGTAATTGTGCTTGCGACTATAGGCACGGCTGAAGTTAGTGTGGCTCTTGATCTTCCTTGTATAACCTTGATCGCAAAGCTGTTTCTACCATAGACATGCAAGTTGATCTGGAGGCGGGCGCTGATGGAGAAGCCTTTCAGGATTTGAGGCCTTGGCAAGAGGCTTAGGTTTTAGAACTTGGCATGGGCCCATACCCCCTAAACTGTCTGTCTTTAGGCCAAGACTAGACGTCCAACACTCTGGAGCATTACAAAGTATTGGCGTTCTACCTGCAAGGAACCTGTTACCGCTTCTCTGCCCCTCACTCCTATCGACTCTGAACCGCCCTAAACCTTGAACTAGAACACGAGGGCTGCTCTCAAGGAGCTAATATACCATCAATAACAAGGCCCTTGCAAAGGTAACGTATTTCAGGTTCTTTAAGACCAGTGCAGAAAAGTACCCTAGACCGCACCGGTCTTCTCAACAGCAGTGCGGGATCTTCATACATCGCCGGTATATGTTCTACGGAGAATGGACAGAAATCCTGTATTTTCCTGCGTACCAAACTCTGGGAATTGAGGTGCCATAGTCTACTTGCAGTCATGTGTTACGTCTGGATTACCGTAGCAGCGTTTGTACCACACCGGGATGTACTGGTGTGGGGCAGCGCAGAAAACCATAGTTGGCTTTGGATTTCGGTTGAGCGTGGAGGGTTTGCGGCGTACAGCTTGAAAAAGTTCAAGGCATAGCACGTGACCCAATTCACTTGGCGCCAAACTCTGAACAGTACATCCATGAGATAGGAGGGAAGTGGCACCAAGACCTAAACCCTCAACCCCCAAACCCTAAATCCTAAATCAACAAGGGTTCTGGTTACCTTCTGTGAAAGGAAACCACGCATCCCAACAGGCCTTCTCGTAGCATGGCAGAGCCAGGGAAAACCAGATTCCGAGTTGTGAGAGTTTAAGGGTAAGGGCACCCTGAACCCAAAAAAAAAGCTTTTCGGGCCGCTGCTTCCTCCAGCTGTATTCCAACGTCTTCAATACCTTGGGATTGACTGGAGACATGCCACAGGTGTGGTCAAGGTCTCCAATAACATCTGGAACCCTTGACTCTTTACGGTGCAGTATAGAGACACTGGGAAGCAAATACATTCACCTCTGTGCGCCATTGAGAGCGACCTATATCTATGCATCCACCATGGAACTACCGCGACGCCCAATAGAGTTCCAGGTAGCGAAGATACTGAGGATCTTTGTTGAGGGTTCAAGCATGTTCTTATTCTATGAGTATACACCAAAACAAGTACATCTGGTTGAGCTCATATGAAGCGATTTGAAGCCCATGCCATAGAAGCTGCACAAGCCATCGATTACGCCCTCTGTGGAAATCTGGACCGGACCACAACCAACAACCAGATTAGACTGCCAAGCAACAAGCCTACCCCGAACATGAGCTCCACATTTGAAATGTCGACGTCCAAACGAAGGGCCCAAACTCAGAACCCGACACCCCAAACCCAACACCTATAGTCCCCCTTTAGAAGATAGATATGGCTTTGGGTACCCCATATTCCATCTACTTAAGGGGACTATAGAACTGCAAACCCAAAGCCAGGAACATTGAATCCAAATCCCAAAGTATGACGGCAAAGTGCCGAGCAATCCGAAGGCGATCAGTTGGTGGCTGAGAACTACACCGACCTGTGCTTTGCTAGAATTCTTGTGCTGCCAGAAGAACTTGAAAGGATTTAATATTTGACACCTATAGTTCCATATGGTTTTACTCTGGCGGACAGGTTTGCTAAAGGGTTTTACATATCGCACAGCGACTTTTTATTGCATGTGAAACATGTTTGCACATAGCGTTAAGTCTGAACAGAATTTTGAGAGGGATCATTGCTTACCGGAGGTTAGTAGGGGATAAGGGAACACAGTCCCTGTATACACCCTTTTTTTCTCCTTTCTTCCCTACTAACCCCAGTAAGTTTGGGAGTCCACATGGACCTGAAAACAACATGAAACATGTGATCCTTACGCAACTGCCTGAATCCCCTCCCCCTGGGAATCAACCTGAAGGGAGGGGATTATTAAGTATTGCTATCCCTAGGGGCCATGATGGTTGGCATCAGCCAAAGCACAGGCTTAGGGTTTACTGCTACCCGTCATGAACCTTCCTTATCCCTAAACCCCCTAACCCTAAACCCTAAGCCCTAACCCGAGTGAAAACAACACCCTCCTCCGATCACCAAGCATGGCCGTGCTCCCACTTGCTGAGGGTTTTGGCTTTACGGTTGAGGGTTTAGGGCGTTCAGGGTCTGACTTCAGTCCCTTCCGGCGTGCTGCGTCCTGGTGGAGAAGGTCTGACATGAGTCCACATTAACTTCAATGATCATGACCTCAACTCGGATTTGAAACCAAACCCCCAAGCACGTACCCTTAAACCCTAAGACCTAAAAGCCCAAATCCTGAATCCTTCAATCCATAACGGTAAACACAACATCTAGTTGCTCACGTGGTTACAAGTATCACTTGAGGTCTATTGAGATGCCCTATACCATAATTATATACGTGGGGTCTGGGACCAATCGGTATATATCACCTATAAGCTCCGTCATATCCCAGTTCACATGATTTTGTCCATGCTCTTTTTGCTTTGGTTCTCGATTTCAATGGCTTCCTATGTATCCCGTGATTGTTCTTCGTGGTCCCCACATTCGCCGCCGGCTATACACACTCACCAAAAATGCCTCAGGGACCTTATATACATTGAGCAAAAACTATACTGAAAGCCTTACTTCATATATCCATATACGTTGGTAATCACTTAAGCCCCCTAAACCCTAAACCTGATATACCCCTCTGTACCTCTTTATGACCTAAGACACTTTAAATAACCCTATACAACAGAATTTGTAACCTGCATCACCCCTCTAAAACCTAGTTGGGCCCCGATAATAAGCACTTCTTCAATGAGCTCCCGGCCCCAAGCTGGCTGGGCAGCGCAAACGGCAGCAGCGCCAACCATAGGAACAACAGACCTTGTGCACTTCACGATGCTTAAGGGTTCCGGAGTTTAGGGTTTAGGGTTTGAAGCCTTGAGGGTTGCACGGTTTAGGGTTGAGGGGTAACAGTACGGGTTTAGGTTTTGAGCATTTAAAGCAGTTGGTTCAGAGTCCTCTCTCGCTCACTACACATCATGCGCTCCCCATTAGTTATCAGAAATCCCTCCAAGGGGTTGATACCCAGCCAGCAAAAACAATGCACAATACCATGTGACAGCTTCTATGTCGTACAGTACAAAAGCGCTAGCTAACCCTGCCACAGGAACAGAAGACCATGGAAAGATGTTGGATGCACGTGCACAGTAGAGGTTCGTGGGGACCTCGCAGGTCCTGGCGACCAGTTCGTCAATTAGAGGGGGTCCCTTTGCATCTTGAAGGTGAGAATCCCTAGCAGCGGAACAGCATTTGTGGTAGATGCTTTGGGATTAGGGTTTACCTAGACCCTCCAATGTAGTACCTTTTGGTAATCCTAATAAGAGCCCTAACAAAAGCCCATACCAAACCCAAAAAGGACTACATTGGAGGGACAAGGTAGGGTGTAGGGTTGGGGTTTTGGGATTGGGGTTTAGGGTTTGGGGTTTAAGGTTTGGGGTTTGGCGTTTCGTGCCCTTCAGGCAACAAAATGACACAGGTTTTCTTTGTCGAATCTTCGCCCAAGATTGGCCAACGGACGTGTGCAGTACTTGCATGATGCACGCTGACAAGGTGGCCGAAAGCAGATTCAAATTCTCAGTCGCTGTCACAGCTACCTAAGTTCAACTCCGAAAGATGCAACCCTGGAGCTTGTCTTACTGTGGTTGCACTACAAACAAAAAAGAAAACATGTCCTGAAAATTCCCAGGAACCTTGCGAGGCTGGCTGCCAGGAGCTGACCCGAGATCTTTCAGACGACGTCGTCGCTGTACTTCTCTGATGAGGCCAAGGAGTTGCTCTTGACGGCAAAGGCACTCCCTCATCCTCTTCGCCCTCTTCATCCTCATCTTTGTCAGCGTCGTTATCAATAGCTTCCCCGAACAAGTCCTTGCGCACGTAAGAGGACGCACCGGGCTCCGAGCTCGGCTGAGCGAGCAATGCTCGGGCACCAGTGTTCCTGCTGCCGCTCTCGGTTAGGGAAGCAATGCCACTGAGGTCACTGAGGTCCACCAGGCTCGTGGCTTGCTCCGCAGGTTCCGTTGGGTCATGGGCACGCCTGGCTTCGATTAGCTCATGCAACTCACATTCCCGTGCCGTGTCCGGCACGATCCGAAGGGCCCGCTGCACGAGCCCGAGCAACTGGAAGGTACTGAGCTCAACTCCCTTGAGGATCGCAGGCAACGTCTTCACAGCCGAGCGAACCACTTCGTCATCTTCACTGTACCACGCTGCATGCAGCAAAGCCTTGACCATCACTGGTTCCATCAAGTATTCACTTTCTGAGTAGGACGACAATGCAAGCTGCAAGAGTATGCCATGCGCCTTCCCTCGCGGGTCTGCCAGCGCAAGCAGCGAGACCAGCTTTTCCTGCGGGACGGCTGCAGAGCTCATCGTGCCTAAGACTGTGGCGGCACTTGCCGCACTCTCAAAGCTTGCCTGTTCGTTCTCCAACAATCTGATGAGTTGCGGAACAATTTCAGGGGCTGCAGGGCCGATTCTGCATAAGGCCTCTGCAGCCTCGTTGCACACGGCTTCGTTTTGAAGTGCTGTGATGAGCTGTGGTACAGCTTGTGCCGCGGCGGGACCTATCCTGGCCAAAGCCTCTGCAGCTGGCACGCGCACCACAAGGGATTCATTCTGGTCTTCCAGCAAAGCAATCAAATTTGTTGTAGCGTCAGCTGCTGCCGGACCCATGCTGCTCAAGGCCTCTGCCGCACCCTTCCGCACAAGGTAATCTCGGTCCTGAAGTGACTTGATCAGCTGCGGCACTGCTTTGGCTGCTGAGAGACCCATTTTGCCCAAAGCATCCGCAACACGTGTGCGCACCTCCCACTCTGGGTCTTGAAGTGCTTTGATCAGCTGCGGCACAGCTTCTTCTGCTGCGTCAGGACATTCAGGACCTACATTGCCCAATGCCGTTGCAGCCCATCTGCGCACATCACTGTCTGGGTCCTGGAGCGCGTTGAGCAGCTGCGGCACAGCAACAGCTGCTGCGGGACCAAGGCTAGACAAGGCCTCTGCGGCCCTCCCACGCACATCAGCATCATGATTTTTCAGCTGCAGGATCAGCTGCGGTGCGGCGTAAGAAGCTCCGCTGCCCATCTTGCTCAAGGCCTCTGCAGCAAGCACGCACACATCTCGGTCTTCGTCCTCAAGTGCTATAATGAGCTGTGGCACAGCTTCCGCGGCTGCAGGACCCATCACGCCCAAGGCCTTTGCAGAACTCCAGCGTACAAGGCGATCTGGATTCTTGAGCTGTCTCATCAGCTCCGGGACTGCTTCAGCGGCTGCAGGACCCATCTCGCACAGCGCCTCTGCCACAAACTGACACAAGACACTGTTTTGGCCCTCAAAAGCTTTCATCAAATGCGGCACAGCTTCAGCTGCTGCTGGACCCATCTTGCCCAAGGCTCTCGAAACGATCTCGAGCACGTGGCAGTGTTCATCCTGAAGCGCTTTGATAAGCTGCGGCACGGCATCGGCTGCTTCAAAACCCATCTTGCCCAAGGAATCCGCGGCCTGAATGCGCACGACTTCGTGATGATCTTGCAGCGCTGTACTTAATTGCGGGACTGCTTCAACTGCACCAGGACCAATTCTGCCCAAGGCTTCTGCCGCACGTGCACGCATATCACTGTCTGGGTCCGTGAGCGCCTCGATCAGCTGCGGCACAGCTTGAGCGCCTGCAGCGCCCATCATGCCCAAGGCTTCTGCAGCATCCTGTCGCGCACTTTCATGTCGATCCTCGAGCACTCTGATCAGCTGCGGCACAGCTTCAGCTGCTGCTGGACCCATCGCGCCAAAGGCTTCTTTAACAGCAAAGCGCACACGTCTATCTTTGTCCTGAAGAAGTCGGATCAGTTGCGGCACAAACCCTGCTGCTGCAGGACCTGTGGCACCCAAGGCCTCCGTGGCGCTCAAGCGGACAGATGAATCTTGATCCTCGAGCGCTTTGAGGAGCTTTTGCAATGCTTCAGCTGCTGATGAACCCATCCTGGTTTGGCTACGGCGCTCTTGAGCACTGCGGCAAGCGTGCTGGAGGCGAGGGCGAGGCACTGCAGTGCTATGTGAAGAACATAAGAACTTCCAAGAGCGTGCAACGCCTGTGCAAGAAAACTACACACGAGGGTTGGTTGTCACTGCATCTCCTCGTAACACAGGCAGACCTCCAATGTTATGCCGATGATGTAGCCAACTGGACTAGCGGGACCAGTAGCCATGACGATTATCACTAGGCACGCAAGCTGCTTTCAACCAACGAATCCAATGTCGAAATCTACCCAGGCTGCAGTGGAGTGCAATATGCCATGTCCAACCAAACACTTCAAGGGGGCAGTCCGACAGGAGGACAGCAGGAGCATGCCAGGGCATGCAAAATTACCAGCCCGCAGGCCTTACACTTTTTCACCCCACTCTCCCTATCTCTCCCTCTCCCTTGTAGAAGATATCCCGCCAAGGACCACCTTAGAGAAGAGCTCCGGCAGGCAACAAACGGAGACCCTTCTGAAGCTCGCTGTAACGTGTGCCATAGCATCCAGCCAGGACGGCACCAAACATCTGAAAGAGGGATCTAGGATTAGGGTGTAGGGTTTTTGGGCCTCGACAATCCTTGGGCATCCCTGATGCAGGCTGGCACCCTAAACTAAGGCGAAGTGCGCGCCGTCTGCTTGGTGTACTTCTGCACGACCTATACATGTGCGGGAGGCAACTATTAAGCGCCCGAAAAATGAGAGCCAACCCACACTTAAAGAAGCATCAGGGGAAGAGAAAGCAGAGTGGAGGAGGCAGAGAAGTTGAAAGAGACAAAAAAGCCCCAATCAGCTAGCCACGTATGATTGGTCTCAGGGAATTAGACCACAGTGGATTCCAATCCACACCGTGATTGCTTCAACCTGGGTTGGGCAGTAAATCTAAATTGCAACACATGAAGAAACACCGTGAACGCCAAATTGCCTACTGAAGGAGACGCCTTTCTGAGGTTTGCATGCCACATGGTGCCCGCGTCATGTCACATGTAGAAAGTCTCCACTAATGGAAAGCGCATCCTGTTGCAGGAGAATGTAGGAGGGCTCGGCCCTCTACAAGGGGCACGAGTGAGGGACGTGAGTTCTAAGTGTATCAACAGTGCTTTGCCTACGCCCTAACATGCCACAGCATCATGTGAACAAATGTTCTATGAGAAGTTCTGTAGCCCGGACATCTCTTCCTTGCAAGAGTCTTCAGCAAGCTGGAAACAACAACACGCATGCTTCCCAAAACTCTCCAGCGTGTTCTGACCACATGAGAATGCCGTTTGTGTGGCCTCTTCCGCGGACCGCTCGCATGCATTCACGTTTTCAGAGAGCCGCGACCTGTGTTCAGCTTCGCTCTGGGTCTTACAGTAGTCATGGGAACGAAATACACTTTCTTTTTGCTTTTATAACCCAGAAGAGCAATTAGACACTTTGGGATAATCTACTGTAATACTGCAAATTCTACTGTAAACAATTTTGTTGAAGTAGGGGAAGGGGGTAGCGCCTGAGCTTCTAGGATGCTTTCAGCACTTCAGAATGGGGGCTGGATAGCAATCAACTGATAATGCCCAAAAAAATGTGAGTGAGTGAAATAGCTGGTGCCTCATCTTCTGGCTAGCAGCACTGCAGTCCCATGAGTGACCCAACTTTCTGAAATAGATCCTGCATATCCAGAAAGTCCCTGAAGGCAAGCCCAACCTTGCGCTGTAATGAAACTATATTATAGTAAAATATACTAGAATATAGTATAATATACTATAATAAACTATAATATACTATAATGTACTATAATATACTATTTCTATAATATTCCAGAACCCAAATACCTAAATCCATCTCAATCCCAAAGCCCCAACCCACACTTGCCTCAGCCCTCCCCACCTGTAGAAGACCAAAAAAACTGAACACAAGCGTAAATTGAGGTAGGGATGTCCCTTGTAGAAACAAGACCCACACAACAACAGCATCCCAAAAATGCGGACCACCTCAAACCCAAACCCTACACCTGTAGCTCTAAACTCTAAAGCCTAAACCTTCAAACTCTGAACCCTTAAACCCTCCATCCTCAACCCCCATAACCCCCAAACCCCTGACCTTCAAGCCCCAACCCTAAGGCCGAGGCAGCTCATTTTCCAGGACGGTCATCTGCAGCTGCGGGATGTCGAGCTTAGATGACAGCGCCTCATTCAAGGTGGTAGGGCTCAAGCTTCGAAGTATGGGAATTTAGAGTTTGCGGTTCTAAATTGATGAGATTGTGGTCTTTGAGTTTGGGGTTTGCGGTCTGTGGCTGTAGGCCTGAGTGTTTTTCATCATGGCAGCAATTCAGCTTGCTCAAGGTAAGGACCACTGCTGGTCTGCTTCATGTTTGAGGACTTAGGCTCAGGGCTTAGGGTTCAAGGTTTAG